GGAGGAGCCTGTGAGGAGAACGGAAAAAACTGTTTCCCAGGAAATTGGACAATCCCGCTAGGGACACCTTTCAGGGGTGTCCCACCAGGGAAGGAGGTGTGCTGGCCGGCCCCACTCAGGCCATGTTAGCTATGACATTTGGGCATGGTGACATGTGGCAGGAGGGGGCAGAGGAATGGCCACACCTGAAAGTGTGGTGGAGACCAGTAATATCAGCAGGGTCCATAGCAAGGCCTGGGTGGTGTCACCCCATTAGCCTCAGACCCCATGCTCTGGCTTAGTCCTCAGAGCTCTGGTGGGCCACAGGGAAAGGCACCAGGCCAGGAGCCAAGGATGTTTGGAGCCCCCTCCCCCAGGGTGCCCGTCTAGGCCTATGTGCCTCAGGTCTGTTTCCTGGCCTCCTCCCCCGCTTTGCTCCCCTCTCTCTGGTGTGTCAGGCAGAGGGGCTGACTGCTGCAGCCCGGATCCCCCTCCAGGCTCGGTCTGGCCAATGGGAGGAGGAACTAGAGGGAGGACAGAGAGTGGGGGGAACGGCTGGTGTCCCCAGCCTCCGCGTCCCCTCCACCCTCCTGCTCGCACAGGCCGGCTCTGGTCCCAGGTGCTGCCTTGTGGCCCTGGGCTCTGCGCTCTGCTGGTGCCATGCTGCCGGGGTGAATGCGCTTCCCACCGGCTGGTGCCACTGCCTCGCCACGCCCTGGTGGGCTTCCTGCCTCCTCCAAGCCCCATCACCGTCCCCTGCGTTCATCACCCCCTCTGGGTTAAGCCCTCAAAGTGGCTTCTGTCCTTCTGTGTACAGCCATGGCCCTGGTTCGCCTCTAACTTCCTATTGACCGATGGTAGGTTATTATTTCCTCTTCTTGGCTGGCCCCATTTCCAAGGGCCTTTCTATGCACATTCTAGAATTTCTTATAATTCTCATAATTTTATTTTTTTTAAAGATTTTAGGGAGGGGATGAGAGGGAGAGAAACATGATGAGAGAAAGAAACATTGATCAGTTGCCTCTCACACACTCTCAAATGAGGACCTGGCCAGCAGCCCTGGGAATCGAACTGGCGACCTGTCAGTTCTCAGGCCAGTGCTCAGCCCACTGAGCCATACTGGCCAGGGCAGCTGTGCACACTCTAAATCCCTCCCTGGGTCTGGATTCGAATGGCATTAACCATACCCAAATATGTATTTTTTCCCCTTCATTTGTAAAAGAATCAGAAGCTCATTGTAGAATACTTGTAAGATTCAGAAAGAAGAATCATCTTATCCCAGTTTGAATAAAAAGCGTAGCAGGCAAGTGTTGAGCTGCCCTGAGTACATTCTCCCTGAGGAGCCATGGAAGGTGGAGAAGCAAACAGCCTGCTGACAAGGACGTCGGAGAAAATCATTGAACAGGTGTTGGTTGGGGGTCAGTGCCCAAGTCCTTCTGGATTGTTCTGTGAAAAGGAGTGTCTAGTTAGGCTGGTCACTGGATTCTGAAGAGCAGACTTTGGACCATGTATAAACTTTATTGCTTTTAATTTACTTACAAAACTGTTTTATGGATTAATTTTCTGGCGAAGGGCCAGAAAAAGGGCTTTCCCCCGACTGTGGCTGTGTAAACAAGTATGGAGCCTCGCGCCGGCCCCAGACTGCGCTCCCACACACAGCCGGGCACAGCGCACAAGAACCTCACCCACGTTCGCGCCTGTGGAGCCCAATGCATCACTTCTGGAAATGCATCCTGGAGGACATAGATCAAGGCGCCAAAAAGCGTTCACTGCAATGCTATTTTATATTAGTGAAACACGGGAAATGACCCAGATGTTCAACATTTAGGAAAAATGTTCAACACTTAGGAAAATGGCTTAATGAATCAACCTCCGCCCCCCCAAGAAAAACCCCTAAAAAACCCACACTCAGACAAATAACAAAAAGGAAATCCTTGGGTACCCAAAGCAAAGAGGGAACTGGGTCAGAGTCTCAGGCAGGTGGTGACCCCCCCCCCCCCCGTGGCCCGCGGAGGTGTCTGGGGTGCACCCCACAGGGATCTGCTCACCCGAGAGGGTGCTCGGGCCAGTTGGCCCCATGCCAGCTGAGAATGAGGAGCAGGCCACCAGCATCAAACCCGAGTCACAGAGAACGGCTCCATTCACGAAGCAGGCACCAAAAAAACTCCACCCACTGACCCGGGGAAGCGGCAAGGAATCTTGTCACCCATCCAGGGCCAAGGGAGAAAAGAGTCACTAGCAAAACAAATAAGTAAGCCCAACAATAGGCTTGGATTCCGAATTTGCGGAACCTCCAAGCTAAAAAAGTCACATGACAGCTGACCCGAAACTGCTGAGACTTGAGAGCCCCGGCCGAGGCGCACGCCACGGCGCTCCAAAGGGGTACCGGCCCCCCACCCCACGCCGTGGAAGACACCTACTGCAGGCATGATGAAGACACGAAAGTCGAGTCACATGGGGAAACGGGCCATCACGGCTCGCCTCCATACTGGGGACATGACACTATCTAAAAGAGCAGATACACACAGAAAAAAATCCCAAAGTGTGACTAGTGGTTGGCCAGAAGCAGCTGAATTATGGCTGAATTTTGAAAAGTCTGCTTGTTGACCAGGACTTGCAATGGAAATGCCCCCAGGAGACAGCCGAGCAACACAGTGAGGAGACTGCGCAGGCAGGTGGGGGGTGGGGAGCGAAGATGGGGCCGCACGGGGCCCTGACAGTTCCCAGGTGGGAACGCAGGCCTGGGCTGGCCACCTCCTCCTACTTTTCTGTATCTCATTTTTATACAAGTACCTCTCGGCTTTAAAATGCTAATTACATTTTTATTAATTACCTTCTGAGGGCCCCTTAGGTTTAAGTCGAATGAAACACGTTCAGGCCCTGGCTGGTGTGGCTCAGTGGATTAAGCGCTGGCCTGCAGACAAGTAGGTTGCTGGTTCCATTCCCTGTCGGGCACGTGCCTGGGTTATAGGCTGGGTCCCCAGCTGGGGGTGTGCAAGAGGCAGCCGATTGATGATGTTTCTCTCCCTCTTTCTCCCTCCCTTCCCATCTCTCTAAAAATAAATAAATTTTAAAATGTTCAGGATTTGTATGCTGAAAACTACAAAATGCTGATGAAAAAACACAAAGGGGCTAAATAAGTGAAGAGAGATACTATGCTCATGAATTCCCGTGCTGTAATTAGAGAGACAGGGAATAAATTAGGGACTGCTAGGGGTCTGAGATTGTCGGGGGCAGGTGTGGAAGTGACTATAAAGATGTCTCGGTGGTGATGGGATGGTTCTGTATTTTGAGTACTGTATTTTGGTGGTTACTCGAATCTACTCATGTGATAAATTGACACAGGACATATACACACACTGTCGATTTTCTGGTTTTGAAATTGTACTATAGCTAGGTAGGCTATAACCCTTGGGGCAAACTAGGTAAAAGGCACCAACTTACTATCTTGGCAACTTCCTCTGAATCTGTAAATACTTCTAAAGAAAAGTTTGAGAGTTGGGGAGAAGGTTACAGAAAGAAAACCACTTCTTAGATTTAAGCTGCAACCTGTCCCCTTAGATTGTCCAAGTGAATCTTAACTCTTGTCTTGGGGGGGCCCACGCTGGTTCCACTCAGAGATTTGCCGGCAGTGAACCTGCGCCCCTTGGTTCTGGCTAAACAGCCCAAAGCGCCTCCCCTACGCCCTCGGTGTGCCAACTTTGTTTCCAAATCCTTTTGAACTGATTTGGATCAGTCAGGGATTGGAGTCCTGCTCCTGAAGACAGGAAGGACACTGTGAATAATTAAGCCAGGGCCACAGGTAGGAAGCCGTCCTCAGCAAACTGCAGCCCGCACTCATCTTTCGGATAACGGATGTCGGGCCAGCCGGGATCCCACTCTGTCACCTGGCCTTGGCACCTCTGCTTCTTAGATAAGCCGAAACCTGCCCCCTTACACTGTCCACATGGATCCCAACTCTCATTTGGGGGCCTCACACTCCATCTGCTCAGAGACTGGCAGACAGCGAGTGCCCCTGTGGGCCACTGCCCCCATCAGCCCGGCTCCCTCCCTGACTTGTGAGGCCAGGCAGGGACTCACAGAGCTCTCAGGGGAAACAGGTCCTGGGGGGCAGGACACAGAGGTAGAGAGTTCATACAAAAGGCCCCGAGAGACAGAAGAACTTTTCCATAGTCAAAGCAGCTCCAGATAACATCAACCCCCACTTCCCATTTAAAACCCACAGAAGAGCCCATTTAAATAAACAACATCAGGAAAGGAGAAGCGGGAACAAAGTAAATATTGGCGGAATACATTTATACCTTACTTGCTTTCACCATGGCGGTGAAACATGGAGAACTATTTGCGTGTTCCTTAAGCTGTACTTTGCTTTGTTTAAGGCATTCGGGGGGCGGAGGGCTAGCCCCTTCGAGAGACTGGCCTTGGTGACCTAGAGAGCAAGGCCCCTCCCTGATACTGTGAGGGGCCCTGGGCGAGGCTGGAGTGCTGGGGGGGGGGCGGACTCCCCACGAAGCTCAGGGAGCAGTAGCGTCAAGACCCCTTCATGGTCTTACACTTAATTTTGTATACTTTTGCTCAAAAGAGCCCCCCTAAATCAGCAATTTTCAACCTTTTTCATCTCATGGCACATACCAACTAATTGGTAAAATTCTATGGCACACCCACAAAAATTTTTTTGCCAATTAGGTATAATTTTGACTCACTCACACCGGATGGTTATTGTGTTGGCGGTTCTAATTTTTTTTTTACTTTGACAATCTAAGGGTACAGAGGTCAGTGACCCTGACTAAACAGTTAGGTACTGGCATGTTTTAAAAGTACTCGCAGCACACCAGTGCACGCCAACGGCCCACTGGTTGAAAATCACTGCCCTAAATTATAGGATCCCAGGCCCCACCAGACCTGACTGGCCCCCTTATAGGTTGGTTTTCATTGTTCCTCGGCTCCATACTGGGGAGAGCCTCGTGTCTGGGGAGAAATGTGGGCGTGTCGAGTAGGGTGAGGAAGAAGCGTTCACTTGCCTTGAGCTGCTCGGCAGCATCTTCTATCTGGCTCCTGTTGTCGACTTGCTGCTGCTGCTTGGCTGCCAGCTGCTTTAAACATTCCTGGATGACTTTCTGTGTGTAGAGGAGTGAGGAGAAAAGTCTTAATACTGTTTGTTGCTTTCGAGACACAGGGCTCCCTGAGGGTCACCTCCTGTCACCTGTGTTGCGTTTCCGCTGAGGAATCTGAGACTCGGAAGGCGAGATGACTTGCCCAAAGTCGAGCAGCGCATTGAGGGGTGCACGGTAGCTAGGGCCCGCCCCCGCCCCCGCCCCTTCCGGGTTTCAGAGGCCCAGTTGGGGATTCTTTGAACCATGATGCCCCTCCACCCCACCGTTTTCTAGGACAAGCTAGAGCATGACCTTGCTTTTCCAATCCCTCAAATAGGACATTAAGGCAAATGGCCTGGGGACAGGGGGAGAGAATTCATTTACAGAGCGAGTATTAACTGAGCTCCTATTATGTGCTGGGGCCCTGCCCCTGTGGCACTTGCTTCCAGAGGGGTCTATGGCCCTCTGGCCTGGATTGGGGTTCAGAAGACCCACATGTGTGAGAGGCCTGCAGGGTTCATGTGCCCCTCTCCCTCCCATCTGAAATGGCCCCCTTCTCTACCTCTGCTTTTTGCAATGGCCCCTTTTTCAAAGGCCTCTCTGTGACCCTTTTTCCTCCAGTGGAACTTTACCCCCCACGCCTCCCCATTCTAGCTTTTTTTGGCTGGCCTCATACTCCACTGCTGGGCTGACTGGGAGCTTCCTGAGGGCAGGTCTGCTCCATTCCTGGCTTCCCCGTAGGGACCAGGGGATGATCTAGAAATGTTTGCCAAATCAAACAGAATTACCAGGGGCTGCCAACTTCAAGTGGTGACCCATGGCCACCCAGTAAGTTATGAGCACAAGCCTCATAGTAGACTCCTGGTCTGAGCCCCATGTGACCTGGGAAGGTGACCTCGCTTCTCCAAACCTCAATTTCCTCAGCTGTAACTATGGAGATAAGCTCATAGGGCTTCTGTGAAGAATAAATACAGTTTATTTATTGCAGTAAAGAATGCAATAAGGATTCATTTGGTGCAGTAAGAATTCGCTATTATGTGCAGTTTTATTCTAGGTGGGGTGTGGGAGTAGGGACACAGTAGTAACCCAAGTCCCAGGAGCACATCCTCACCCCACTGTGATTTCTAAGCCTTCAAGTCCAGCTCCTGTCCATTAGCCGAGGATAACTCAGCCTCCTGATGCCTCTGCCCTCCTGCCGCAGTGTATTTCCCCTGTTTTGGTACTTGGGGAAACCCTACTCATCTTTCAAGGCCAATTCCAATCGCACCTCCTCCAGGAAATATTCATGGGCTTCTTGTCCCTGTTTCACAGTCTTCCATCCGGCTCCCACTGACCGCTGCCTCGGGTGTCCCACTTAAAATACTTACACACTATCGTCACTGTTCTCCCCCACCGGCCAGGGAAGTGACCTCCAGGTCAAGGAAGAATTGATCTGTTCCCTGACTCATGGCACAAGGTATGTGCTGAATGGATTTGATGAGTGAATGAATGAATGAATGAATGAACAGATGGATAACAGATAAAGAGGTGAGTGGAGACACAATGGATACACCTAGGTAGGTAAGTAGATGTACCCAGGAGACCCACAGCCGCATCTCTGGACAGTACCCTTGTTAACTCTGGAGACCAGCCTTGTGAGGAGCTATTATTACACAGTCATCTTATATAAGGAGAGGAGGACCCTAGGGGCACAGGCAGGCCCCGAATCCCGGGCTCCTCCTGCCAGACTGGCCCTCAGGAGGGCCCCTTCTTGTCTTGGAGCTCTAAGGTTGTTAAGCCGATGGTCGAGTTAAGTCATGACTGCGAGGGAAAGAGGCCATTCATTGTGGGGACGGGTTAATCACGGGAGACTTCTCGGAGGTGTTGGAAGCAACTTCTGCCAGAGGCAGGTGGGCCCGCCCAACCCAGAGGGGTAGATTCATTTGACTGGAGCCGCAGAACAAGCCCACCTCAAGGCTGGGACAGGAGTCCAGAGCCCCTGCCATTATTAGGATAGCAAAGGTGAGGGCTCCCAGGTGAGAGTGGACCCCGAGCGGGGCGGTTCATGGGGGGAGCGCTGGGTTCAAGCCTCCAGGGCCTTCCTTCCCCTGTAGATAAAATGGCTGTCCTAGCTCCCACCAGCAGTTATGCCTGAGGAATGGGAGGGTGTTGAGGGGGCAGGGTGGAGCGGGGTAGGCTGAGGTGAGAGCTGAGGCTGCTGGCGGGCAATCGGACAGTCCGCAGTCCCTCCCTGTGAACCTCGGGAGGGAAAATCAGAGATTTGTGTGCAGCATTCCAGGCTACCAGGCTGTTTTCTAACAGGGAGGGACTTTAATCTTTGTTAAAAGGCTAATTTTCTTTGCCTCCATGTGGGTGTGGTGGAAGAGGTCAAGGGTATCTGGGAACTGGTGTGGCTCCCAAGTTCTCCCTCCCAAACCCACTTCTTCTGCAGATTAACTGTTGACCTTTGCCCCGTCCTGGGCATCAGTTTCTCATTGGGAACAATAGCTCAGTCGCCTAGATGACTGCTGGGCTGTGTTGAGGTTTCCGGGTCCCAACGGGAACTGGCAGTTGACACCGGTCTCCCACCCCGCCCCCCACCCCATTCCACGCGCCCCAGCTTCCCCACCTGCACGTGCACCGCCTCTTCTGAAGCCAGGCCCACAGGGTGGCCCCGGTGCGCACCCAGCACCGGGCAAAGCGCGCACACGCAGCACCGGCAGCGGCGACAGAAGAGCTCCGCCGGGCGGTCGCTGTGCTCCGGGCAGCGGCAGCTGCAGGCGTCCTCGGACTCGGACTCGGCGGGACCTGGCCCCGCAGGTGTTCCGCTTACTGCCGCTACACCCGCCATTCACTCCCTGAGTTTCGGGCAGCAGCGGTGTAGGGCAGGGCGATGCAGGGCAGGGCGGTGCAGGGCAGAGCAGTGCAGGGCAGAGTGGGAACGGGAAATCGAAAGCAGGACAGTGGGGCGGAGCCCCCGGCTCGGGCGGGCCCTGCTCGGGGTGGAAGGCAGAGGCGCGCTGCTGCGGGGGATGGGGGTTGGGGGACCGTGGCTGCATCGTCACCCTCTTGCCCTGTAGTGTACTTTTCCGCCCCCCCTGTCCCAACAGCTTTTAGGTGGTGCTGAAGGCTCAGGCCTGGTCTAGCCTGCTTTGTGTCTGGCCTAGGGGTAGCCACAGCAGAAATGAAGGTTCACTCCTGCATACCTTCAAATAAAACAACTAGTTATTTTACCGGCAAAATTGATTCACTAGGGAATAGCAAAGGAGTTGCAATTCAGGACAAGCAAGCTGTAGCGACAACCACAGGCAATTCTAACAAGCAAAGGAAAGGAAAGTTACTTTATAGAGAAAAAGGACGCTGGGAGGGGTCGTTTTGAAGCAAAGGGACAGCTCAGGCTGGTGACAGTTTCTCATTGGCTGAGTTGCTGGGCAAGAAGGAAGTCTTCCTTTCTGCTGCTGGAGTGGCACCATAGTGTCCCCTCGCAAGGTGCATGTCTCCCGTGTGTCCCTAGTTGATGTTTTTTTTCCATCGGGGTCTGTACCTGACTTACAGCCCCAGTGCCTGAGCCCCCCCCCCCAGTCTGGCCCCCCAAATCTGTTTTAACTGAAGGTTCCTTGGAGTTTCACTCCTAACGGGCTAACTGGCCGGAGGCAGGCTCCCCACCCCCACCCTCAGTGAGGTTATCCCGTCAAGCTCAGAAAACTGCAGCCCTGTGGATGGGGCCAGGCTGGCTGTGGCCTTCTGGGGTGGGAGTCATTTACCTACATTTACCACTTTCCCTTGATTCTCTCTCACCCTTTCCCTGGAGAAATAACCATTCCCACAATTGTAAGAAACATCCTGGAAGCCAGGCACTCCAGGTGAAGGTCTCAGCTTCAACAGAATGTAAATCGGTACAACCATGATGGGACAGTGTGGAGGGTCCCTGGAGGTATTCATCCAAAGTGCATGAAGTCCAAATCTGGGAGAGCTGCAGTCCCCGGCTTGTTACAGCAGTGTTCACAGCAGCCGAGATATACAAACGACTTCAGGTCCCTCAGCGGATGAATGAATGAAGACGTGATGTGTGTATACACAGTGAAGTGTTACTGAGACCTAAGAATGGAAAGCCTGCCATTTTTGACGGGGGGGGGGGAAGGGGGGGAGGAGGGGGAACCTGAAAGACAGTGTGCTAATAAGCCAGACAGAGAAAGACAAAACCTATATAGTATCTATGTGGAATCTAAAAAAAAGAAGAAGTTGAACTCATAGCAACAGAGTAGAAACATTGGCTGCCAGGGTGGGAGAAAAGGCTCCAACTCAGCACAAGATACGTAAATTCTGGAAATTTAATGCACAGCACGGTGACTATCGTAAACAGTATGTATCGTATACTAGATATTTGTTGAGAGTAGATTGCAAGGGTTCTCACCACACACACAAAATGGTAACGATGTGAGATGAGAGGTGTGTTAATTAGCTTGAGTGTGGTAATCATTTCACAGCGTGTGCATTTATTAAATCATCACATTATGAAACCTAAACAAAATCATGACCTAAATACATACGATTTTTATCAATCATACTTCAGTAGGGGGGGGGGTGGTCTCAGCTCCTACCTCCAAGGCCCTTGGCTTTTACTACCTTTAATCCCTGCCAGCCTGTGCTCTAATCTCAGCTTGTTTCCAGGCCAAGGAATAGGTGGTTTTCTCTGCTTACTAGAACACACTTTCCCCAAATGCCCAATTGTCTTGCCATTGCCCTGCCTACTCCTATTTATCCCTCATGTTTCTGCATAAATGTCACCTCCTCCCAGAAGCCTTCCTTGCCTCTCCTCCCGAAGCAGCCTACATTTCCCCTATCCTGGCCCTCTCCTTCCCCCAGACCATGACTTAAAACTTCAGAGGGCAGAGACAAATTCTGCCTCACCTGTTTCTCAGTCTGGAAAAGTAGGTACTTGTTATTTGTGGAACAAATTAAGAAAAGGAAAGTTCCATGTATTAAAATGTATAGGCAGATGATGTTTATTATTTTTTTAGATTCTTCCCATAGCACAATTCCACATATATTTATTTTCACTTTGCTTGCTTGATTGACTTATTTTTTTTTTTTACAAAGGTACAAGGAACTTCAGAAACAACATTAAAACAATCAGTTTCAGGCACGATTTTATATGAAAAGCATAGATCAACTGCTGACTTCCTGCTTCCCCCTATGATACAGTCTTGAAGTTTTGTTCCAAGAAGAACAATTACTAGAGCCCTGAGGTGGATACACCCTGAAGCTCATCTCCCAGAGCCGGCTTCATTCTCAGCAAGTTCCTGAGCCAACAGCCAGGGGTCGCCAGGGCGAGCAGTGCGGAGGTGAGCGCAGGCCCCGCGCCCTGCCCTGAGCGTGAGGGCCTGGCCCTGCAAACCCTGGGCAAGTTCCACTCCATCAGGTGGGAACATAAACAACAAAGTAATCTTTAAAAATGGCTTAAAAAAATATCTGATAAAAATTACCTATCCCTCTCCCTGGCTGTGAAATAATTTAAATAATTTACTCTAAATATAAAAAAGAAAGAAAGAAAAGGTTTGTTCATGGATGCCTTCGTGTTGTTGCTGAGCGCGAGGCCTGGGTCCTTTTGGGTTGGGGAGAGTTTGAGGAGGCACCTGGAGAGCTCTGGAGACTCAGCCCTGTCTCCCCCACTTTGTAGCCAGTGCCTTTGGGCATGAAAGTTTCTTTGTTCTCAGAGGCTAGTCTTCCCTCCTGAACACAGGACAATCATGCCTGACTGATCTGTGTTAGAGCAGAATGTGCTCGAGAGTGGAGGTGGAAGGGCTTTGTAAACTGTGAAGTGCTGGCCGAAAATGAGGCTTCCAGTGGAGGTCTGCTTCCCTGACACCACCTGGGATTGGGTCTTTGGCAAGCTCGGTGGGCCCCAGCGACTGAGTAAACGGAGGACAAGACGAGCAACTGGGGTGTCTGGCGTGAGCAGGCAGACAGGCGGAAGCAGCCAAAGCTAGGGGCAGGGGCAATCAGGAGCACAGGGTGCCCATGGTGCGGGAACAGTGGCCGGGGCAGCTGGGGCAGGGAGCTGGTGGAGGGCTCAGAATACTGCTTCCTGATTTTAGCCTCTGGCCAGGACTTAAAAGACCAGGTTGGAGCCCCCAGCTCCTGGTTGGTCCTTGTCTTTACTGTGGATGGCCCAGTGTCACCACCCTCACTGTATTGCAGAATCACCTGGGAGCTTATGAAAACGTACAGAAGGCCAGGCCTCTCTGGGCTGATTCAGCAGCAGCTAGTCCGGGTCGGGCCTGGCCATCTGTATTTCCTGAATGCTTCCAAGGGCACTCTGAGCTACAGCCTGAGTTGAAACCTACTGGGCTGGTGGCCTCCTGCAGTCCCCATCCGAGCCCCAGGACTGCCCTGGGCCACAGGCAGAACCCCTCATCCACACTTCCCCAGGTAAGCAGGTGTATTCAACTCCCAACATTCCCTGTCTCCAGCCAGGCCACTGTATTGACCCCAGAAAAAAAAGAAAATCCCAGAGAAGGGCTCAGCGTACAGATTCACAAAGGAGGGACATAGAAGAAGCTAGGCTGGACGGGACCTGTGGCCTTGCTTCCTTGCCTAGTACAGTCATCCTTCCCCGGAAGCCCTTTCCGCGGGGCAGCCAGCAGGTTCTGCCGGCCGGCTGCCAGCCCCGGGGCTCCCTACTCCCGAGGGCCCATCTGTTACTTTGGATCGACATCTGCCTGTCATCCTGTCAGAGCAGGCTCTGTGGCCAGAGGGCTTTGGTGGTCATGGACCAGTGACCCAATGTCTGCATCCCACATAAGGGAGTGTCCCTCCACTTCCCACTAATTCCGGCTGAAAAGGGGATGGCCTCGCCCTTCTGCCTGTATTATAGAATTGGGCTCAAACTTGGCTCTCTCCCTGCAGTGAAACTCCCTCTGCCCCTTTGCTGGTGTCTGGTGAGTTCCCATGACAAACCCAGATCATGCCCTGCAGGTAGTTTTCCTTAGGTCAAGGTTAACATTTCACGTGTTGGGTTGGCAGATTCCAGGGCCCACTTTGTTCAGATGGAGAAACTGAGGCCAGAGAGGGAACAACTTGAAGTCATGCACTTCAAGTCCTGGGTGCAGCCGAGGCCAGGACCGGCGGATTGCTGCCGTGTGGCTGACAACTAGATCGGACCAGAAACGGCGGCAAGGCGCACCCAGGGGACCTGAAGCTCAGCCTGGCCCTGCCATGGACTCTCTGGGCCTCTGTTTCTCGCCCCCCAAAAAATGAGGAAGTTTGGCCAATCACAGGTTTTCAAACTTCTAAAATGTTTTGAGTGGCAGAATGATGTATTTCATCAAAGCCAATACATAAAGCAGAAAGAAGGGGAGCCATCTGGTTGGGATGGGGGGTACAGCCCTCCTGCTTAGCTGCCCCCCACTCTATAGACTGTAGTTTGAACACCACAGGCAGGTTCGCCTCCCAGGTCCTTTCAGCTCTGACTTTCTACCTGTATAACGTTCTTTCCCATCAGAAGTTATAGCTTATCATGGACCCTCACAAACAGAGTTAAACAGAAGGCAGTTATCATCTAAAAAAAGTCAGTTCAGACACTGTTTTGAGAAGGCAAATAGAAAAACGGCACCATGTCCCACTGGAATCTTTCGGTGATCGAGTTTCATTTTCTGGTAAAAAATATAGAAATAGTGGTTGTTCTCGGGGGGGCGTGTGGCTTGATTCTGAACCTCCCCGCGGAGCCGAGTGGTGGGTCCCTGAGGGCGAGGAGGGCAGGCGCCTCTGTTCAGAACCGCTCTGAGTTCATCCGCAAGTTTTTGATCTCCAGCTCCAGCTGTTTGGCCTGCACCTCTCGCTGGGTCAGCAGTTCTCGGAGTCTGCGGATCTCCTCCTGCTGCCGGTAGAACATCTGCAGCAGCTGGGGGAGCACGAAGAGGGGAAAGGTCATGCAGGTGGCCCGGGGTGCCAGGGGGTGGGACACCCTCAGAAAGACTAAAACTCTGTCCCTTTTGGGCTCAGAAAGGTGGAGATGCTTAACGTGGCTGAGGCCTAAGTGGGCAGCCATGGTGTAGACCTTTTATAAAAACCTGATTCACCTAATAGATGACATTCAAAAAGACTTGATATTTCACACTTATTTTTTTTGCCTCCTTAGACTTCCCCATGGGATGGAGGAAAGGGTATTAGGCCCTGATGTCTGAAGACTGGGGTTTTCACCACTAATGAACTGTGTGACTTCAGGCAAGTTTCTTACTCTCTGAGCTTGAATTTCCTCCTCTGGGAAATGGGGGTGAGAAGACTCACTTCAGTGTTATCACAACTGCAGCTGCCGTACATAGTGGTACTGGGTGTTGGGTGCTAACTCTGAGTATGGTTAGTCCACTGGGTGCTCACAAAGACCCTGAGAGGGTCCCAGTGTTAGCACCACCCCCCTTTATTGCTATGGACACTGAAGCTAAGAGAGACTCGGTCCAGGGGGCCGATGTCCCACAGCTAGTGCTCAGGAGAGCCTGGACTAGAATCCCTCCATGACATGCCAGCCCTTTGGTTTTTAGCCCCAACCTGTTGACTCCCAGGGCCACCGAGAGATTCACCCAGGTGGAATATTAGAGCACCTGTGATGGCGCCGGGTACACAGCACGTCAGAGCTGGAAGGGACTTGAATACCCACCGAGTCCCAGTCTCTTCACTGTACAGAGAGTTCCCCGCAGACGGCACTCACCGCCTGCCTGTTGAGTGAATTAACAACTTGAACGAAGTGGCTCGGCCAGGCTACGCAGCTGGTGATTTCTCTCACCCCTCACTTCTCTACCCACTGCCCCACTCCCCAGTGCAGATGCACCCCACCCTCATCCACACCTCGTTCTCCGTCTTTGGCGGGGGACACTCGAAGATGTCAAAGCCGTTTGTGAGCCAGGTCTTCTTCTCTTCCAGCCTATGCTCTGCTGCCCACCTTGGTGACTTCTCCTCCAGCAGAGAGAAGGACCTCTGGCCGTCTTCTGCAACCAGCTTTTCCGTCTGGCCCAAGAGGTGGGGCGAGGCAGGGGCTGTGGGGCTGGAGGGAGCACTCTCTGGGGGCAGAGGCCGAGGGCTCAGCAGCTCGGAGCCCGGCCTGAGGGACACCAGGACTGGCCCTGGGAGAGAAGCAAAGGGCTGTGTGAGGACTGAGAGCCTGTAAGCACCTGGGCACAGGGGGCGCTGGTGCCAGCAGGTTTGCAATGACGCGCGGACCCACCGAAAGGTGTGGGAGATGTGGCCACATGCAGACAGGCACAGACCCACGGACTGGGGCAACCCGAGTGCAGATCAGAGTCCCATGCACGTGGCCATCTGAGGAAGCCTAGTTTATAGGAGCAGTTGGGCCATGGCTGGAGCTGCCCCAGGCCCCAGGAGCTTCTCCAGTGAAGCCTTGGCCTTGCTCTGTAGGGCCAGCCCCACCCACACTGCTCTTGGCCACCTGCCAGGAAGCGGGGGAGGCAGGACTCTTGGAGAAGGATGGGGAACCTGGACCCAGAGAAGAGCGAGACTGCCTAAGGGTTGTACAAAGGAGGGGCTCTGGGGGTAGACAGAGGGTGGGCGGCAGGTAGGTGGAGATCCTGACCACAGAGGCCGCAGCTGTGGGGGGTGGGAGCACCCACGCCTTCCCCTGGGCTGGCCCTTCTGTTGACAGGGCAGGGAGGGTGAGTCAGGGCAGGCGGAGGGGGTCTTCTGAGTAACTGTGGAGGCGGGGGCAAACGGGTGGGCAAGGGTATCTGGCCAAGACGATGCGGTCACTCTGCATAGCCCAGAGTTTAAACTAGTTTTCCATGGAGCAAAAATCCCTTGCTTTGGGGGAGCATTCTGAGCCACCTAGGAAAGCCCCTCCCTTCCTGGACCCCATGTGACCCTGCCGGCCACTGGAACTGACCCTCGGGGACCAGTCCTCTGGGGTCTCAGGGGAATACAAATGCTGTCCAAACCCCTCCCAGCTACCAAGGCCATAGGACATTCCATTTCCCCCATATTCGCCCAAGGCCTCTTCTCGGCCCTTCTCACCTTTATTCACCCCACTGAGCCATTCCCTGGCCGTCAGAGAGGGCTGCGCCGCCGCCGTGGGCGGGTAGATGTCCTCCTGGTAGGATTCCGACTGCAGGAGAAGCCAGGACAGTGAGAACAGGACAGTGAGGGGAGAGGAGGCCACCCACAAGAGGGTCCTTAGCGAGCTGGGGGTCCATGCCTTCCCCAAGCGCCATAAGTTGAGAAAACCAAGGCCCAGACAGCAAAAGGTCGTGCCCAAAGGCACACAGCAACTCAAGAGCAGAGGTGAGGCAAGAATCAGGATTCCAGACCCCTGTGACGCCTCACAGATGCAAGGCCTCCCCCAGAGGGAAGTGCTCATCAGCTGCCCCACTGCTGCCTCTGCAAATGGCTCCCCCGCCCAGGGCTAGTCTTCTCCAGGAAGGGCTCCCCGCCCCCTTGTGGCCGCCCCCAGCACTCTCACCCGCCGGGGCACTATCATGGATATGGGCTCGATGAGGCTTTTGGTGGTAATCAGCTTGTAGAAGCGGAAGATCTCACAGGTGGACACATCGAGACCTCTCTTTGGCATGACACCTGCAGGAAGATGGTGACAAGGGCCAAGCGGTTCCAGCTGGGCTGGGGTCAGAGGGACCCAGTGTGGGGGGCCAAGCCACGCCACACACAGGGATGGGAAGAGACCTCCCGCCACCCGCGGTCCTTCCCCCGCACAAACAGCTCCTCAGCAGACAGCTCTGCTGGGTTGGGCCCTGTGCTGGAGAGACAGGGTTGGAATCGTCAGACCCTGTCCCAACCCTGAAGGGTTCAAATGATTTTAGCTCGGCTGTTGCAGGAAGTGTGCTCCGTCCCAGGCCCTCCATCACCATCCCCACAGCTTGTGAACCTGGTGCTCCGAATAGAGCTTGTCCAACTTTCTTCTGATCACTCTTGGCTTGGTACAGCTTTCTCTGTCCCTTTACTTCCAATCTAGCTGTGTCTTTACATTTTAATGGGTTTCTTGTAGACAACGTATGGGTACAGTTGCCTGGTTTTATTTTTCAACCCCAATACACTGAAAAAGTAGGGGCTCTCTCAGGTCGGTCTCTCCCATCTCCATTCTACTATTTAACTACTTAACCTTGGCCTGGAACTCCTCCATTCTCTCCCCAGGCTGTACTCTGCCTCCTCTTTCCATTCCTTACACGTTGCCTCCTCCAGGAAGCCTCCCCGAGAGCCTCCTGTACACTTAACTAGAGCCCCCATCGAGGCAGACTGTTGATCCACCATCTCCCCTCCCGACTGTGGGCCCCCCAGGGCAGGGCCTGAATCTGACTCCTCCCCGTGTCCCCAGGTCCCAAGTGGCCTCGGAGCCCCACACTCACCGATCCCCTTCTGTGGGGAACAGGAGCGGTATTCGGTCAGGTAGTTCAGGTGAGGTTTGCTGGCGCTCACCTCATAGTAGCGGATGTTCCCATCTCCCTGAGGAGGAGGAGGAGGAAAAGGGGATGGTTTAGAGTCGGTCCCCTTCAGCCCCCCACCTGGCCCCCACTGCCATGCAGAAGAAACCTGGTGTTCATAGTAGGTAAACAGTTGGCAAAGCCACCTCACACAAGGGGACACCAGGGAGTTGTCACCACAGCAACAGGACGGTCCTCACTTTAACACTCAGTGCCCCCAGCCATGACCCAAGCCTACTGGGTGTCTCCAAGGCAGGAAGGTCTGGAACCCTGGAACCCCACCCCTTCCAAGAGCTGCACTCAGTGGTCAGAGCGGCCTGTCCTGAGCCCAGTGAGGGGGTGTTCCCTTCAGGGGCATTTCTGGTTGTCACTCTCATAATGACTGGGCAGGGGAGGAGTGGGGGCCACTGCTGCTGGTGTGGATGGGTAGAGGTCAGGGCTGCCAAATACAGATGGCAGTCCTATCCAATGAATACCCACTCTGCCCCAAATTTAAAGGTCCCCCTGATGAGACACGCCAGCTGGTCCCTCCTCATCTGGACCCAGAGTTGGGGAGGCGCCAGCTTGGGGTGTCTACCCAAAGCTGTGGGTCCAGGGGTGCTTGGGAGCCAGGAAGATGAGAAAAAGGTGCTGGGCTCACCACAGGGGGAGAGTGTCCAGCGGCTCCTGGCTATCCCTGCCCCTGCCTTCCACCCCAGGGGCCCCGGGCAGCTGGCTGGCCACAGTGGGGCCACACTTAGGCCTGTTCTGCCTCCGGCCTCAGGACTGCACAAGGCCAGCTTCCTCCCGTGTGGGACTGACCTTTCCCACCACGTAGAGCATGTTGGTGTCTGCGTCGTGGAAGGGAAACAGCACCCCCGAGGAGCCGTCCAGGTCCTCCTCCGTGAGCGGCACGGAGAGGTCGTCCTGCAAGAAAAGGGGGCCAGCAGGTCACTCACGAGGGTTGTCAGCAGCGCTCTCTGAGCTACACATTCCCGGCATGGAGCCCTGGACGTGTGTGCGTGCATGTGAGCGAGGGGGCGAGAGACCGAGTGTCGGGAGAGAGAGGGAGAGGGAGGGCGGGAGAGAGAGAGAGTGGCAGAGAGAACTTCCTTTTATTTTGCCAGCACACTGGCCTTAGCAAACCACTTCTCATACCACCCTCTGCCACCTGTTCTGTTATTCACTCTAATAGATGAAGAAGGAAATCCAGAGGAAAGGAAGTGGTCTGTCCTGTCTTCGAAACTGGCCCAGGGCTCCATCGGATCAATACCGCTTGGCCTGGCCCTCACCCCACCCCCGAGTGGAACATACGGCTCCTCCTGCCCACGTGCCTCATACTTCATTCCAAGCCCCTGCCACAGCTGTTCCTTCTGCCTACAAGGCCCTCTTCTCCCTTCCACCCAGTCTGGTTTCAGAGGTGGCCACATGCCCTCTCCTCTCCTCTGCCCTGACCAGTCTGCTTCTGTGAGTGACAAGATGCACAAGGTCTGTGCTCATGCCTCAGGCTCTCAGCATCTTCCTGTTATTCATCAGTAAATTCAGTCAATGAGTGGATGAATGAATGAGTGAATGAGTGAATGAGTGAAGCCAGAACTCGGCTAAGGAGTGGTGGTGAGGTGCGCTGGGGGCGCTGCAGGGGACTCACCTGGTCCCACAGGGCCAGCTGCCGGTTGTTCCATCGGGAGGTGCCCGTGGACAGCAGCTTCTTCAGGTTCCCCAGAAATAGCACTTTGCTGGCCCGGTGCCCCTTGTAGCTGGCCTCCTAGAGAGACATGTGGGGTCAGGAGTCCCTTCCTTTGCTTATGCGTTTGCTCTGTCCAGAACGCCTTCGTGTCTACCCCACCTCCACCTGGGGGATCCTTCCGGAGTTCTGAGCTACAGCAAGAGGCAAATCTTGCCCAGATCCACACTCTTGTTGAAGATTACAGAGCACCCACTCTATGGCAAAAGCATGGGGCTGGGCAGGCGCTGCAGCTGGGTTATGTCATTTAACCCTCTGGGAGGAAGGACCAGCAGCCCATTGTTGCAGATGAGGACACAGAGGCTGGGGCACCTGAGAGTGCTTGCCTAAGGCCACAGAGTGGGTCCACAGTGGTGCCCTGGAGCCTCCAATCCCTTGTCACACCCCTGACAGAGCTGGGGCACACAGACAAGCTTTGGCGTTAGACCAGGTTCGAATCCCAGCTTCCAACGTGAGCCGGTCGCTGAGCCTCTCCCCCACCTCGGGTCTCGCATCTGAACAACGAGGACAACCCGGGTGGAGGCGTGGCCAGAGCTCATGGCGCTGTTCGGAGAGGCCTCTGCCATCTCCACACCACCCTTGCTCCTCGGACCCCTGGTCCCAAGCCAGACTCCAGCCTAGCACCAACCTGGAGGACCGTCCCTGCTCGGGGGTCGAGAACCCGGATCTTGCGGTCTTTACAGGTGGTGGCCAGCAGGCTGCCGTTGGTGTTGAAGGACATAGAGAGGATCACATCTTGGTGACAGTCAATTGTCTTCACGGGGCTCATGATTACAGTCTCCTTTGTATCCAGGTTCCAGACCATCACCTGCACGGCAGAGAGCCGGCTCTGAGCCCAGCGGCCACCCCTGCCCCGGCCCCCACAGTCACATGCTGGCCAGGCTGCCATGAAACACAGTATCCCCGGGGGGGACGTCACAGATGGCAGTCTGGCCAGGCGGCCTCAGGTGGGAGGCGGGTCTGCTGCCGGCTGACGCTGCCACGTGGTAGGAGGGGGAAGCAGGGAGTCAGGCTGGCTGGCAGTGGGGGAAAAATACTACCATCTGCCTTGGAGCGACGGAACATCCATGCTGGGAGGACCCCGGGGGACCCGCCAGCCCAGGGGTTCAAACAGCAGTTCCCACCTCACACACACACGCAGGGCTGCCTGTCTGGTTGCACCGACCGTGCACTGCACAGCTCTAGGGCGCCCCATTACTGTCACCCGTCACATGAACAGCATCCCCTGGAGCTGTGTGCACAGGGACCTGTGCCACGGTGGGCGGGAGCCCTGCAGACATGCCAGCACGGACATTTGGTGGTGGCCCTGTCACAGGGGCCCCTGCGGTGCCTCGGAGGGTAAAGCCCTACGGGGTTGTGAAGGCCACAGCTGCGGTCACACCAACCCCTCAGTGTGTCTGTGCACACACTGAGGAACTGAGGCCCAGAGAAGACCAGGGGCCTTCCCGGTCCACAGGGCCCAGCCTGTCCCCTCTGGGCAGACTGGTGGTTGGTTAGCCGGTGTCCTTCCCAAACTCAGTCCACCTGGGACCTCAGGATGTGACCTTATGTGGACACAGGGTCTTTGCTTATGTAATTAGTTACAATGAGGTCACACTGGGTTTGAGTGGGCCCTAAAGCCAGTGATGGTGTCCTTACAAGAAGAGGACACAGAGACACACAGAAAAGACGACCATGGCCCCAGCCAGTTAGTTCGGTTGGTTAGAGAGGCATCCCAATATGCCAAGGTTGTGGGTTCGATCCCGGGTCAGGGCACATACAAGAAACAACCGATGTTTCTCTCTCTCTCTCAAATCAGTAAATCAAAAAAAAATTTTTTAAAGGCCACATGACAACGAAGGCAGATTGGAGTGACGCAGCCCCAAGAGCTAGAAGAATCTCAGAAGGATTCTTGCCTAGAGCCTTTGGGGAAAGCATGGCCCTCTGAAGGCCTTGCTTTAGGACTTCCTGTCCTCAGAACAGTGTGAGAAGAACAGGGCCGTGCATCAGGGCAGCGCTGGGACGCTCCTCCGGACCCACCTTGTAGTCGTAGCCCGCGCTGAAGAGGACGCCGGCGGCCGTGGGGTGCCACTCCACCAGGCCCACTCTGCGGGAGTGGCCCGCCAACTCCTTCCTGCAGGCCGTGAGGTTCTTCGACAGCAGCTGCTTGGGGATGTTCCAGATCTTAATCTGTCAAAGGTTGCAGGGCCCAGGGGAGCGTTAGCCAGGGTCACCGCGGCACCCCGGCCACCCTAGGAGCTGGCGGTGCCCGGCAGAAGGGCCTGGGAGTTCTCTCTGTATCCACTTCTCACTCAGTGGAGGGCCAGCAGGGGCAGCTTGGAGGGACAGGGGCTTTGCCAAGGTCCTCCAGCCCAAGCAGCAGGGGCTGGCGTTGATCAGAGATGGGTCCTGATAGGCATAATCTGATAATCTCTGCCATCCTAATGACCTGGGTGGTGGGTGGGTGAGTGGGCCACAGGCCCCACGCCCAGGCCAAGTGTCTGAGCAAATCTGCTTCCCAGCACAGAATATCCCCCAATGTACAGTGATGTCCCCTGCCCCTTGCCCCAAAGCCCAGGGTGGAGCCTTGAACAGCAGGAGGAAGGGTTTGTGCCGAATCTCAGGGCACTAGGGAGCCAGCCAGCACAATCCTGGGGCAGGACAGGACAAGCCTCTCTGGCAGGGCCTCTATGTTCCTCAGTATCCTGTCTATGGGAACCAACACAAGTCCTCCTAGAATTTTCTACCTGCTTGTCCCAATCAACTGGCGTGTCTCCTTTGATCAGGCAGTGAAGGTTCTGCAGTACATTCTGTTTCCCTTTTTAGCCTTGACCCAGGGCAACCCTGCCTCGCTAGTGTTTCTAGTATCATCTCCCCACTTCCGCCAGCTGTGGCCGCTGCATCTTAGGGGACTGGCGTAGCCCAGAGGAAACAGACTGGGTTCTCAAGTCAGACCTCCGTCGGAAGTCTGGCTCTGCCTCTACAAACTGGATGAGGTCGGGCACCTCGCCGCACCCCTCAGACCCTCCGCTTCTACGCCAGAAAAGGGTCCCGCCCTGTGCAGCTGCCAGGATGGGCAGACTGAGTGAAATGGCGTGCATATCATGAGAGTTGGGGACACGGTGGGCTCACAGTATAAACAACTAGGACTTTTCTTCTAAGTTGAATCACCTCATCGTACCTCTTTTGTTTCAAGCCACACCCACCACGTTTTAGAAGTGGCACAGAACACATTATAAACAAACAGCACTAAACATTGTGGGAGCAGGGATTAGGACCCTGGGGCAAAACTGGAGCTCAAAAAGTTGGTGGAACTGAAGCTTTTGGGATAGTTTTGATGGCCATATTCCTATATGGCTCCCACTCCTATCCTTTTAAAATCTGCTCCCCTGTTGTCTGTGAGATGAAGTGGCACAATGTTTTCTCACACAGAAAACACACCCCACATTGCATGCTATAGTTTCCCTTAAGGGTGGGCTTTCCTACTGGGGTATGACTCTCATTGGATCTTAACTAAGCAGTTGGAAATTATTATGCCCATTTTACAGGTGGGGAAACCGAGGCCCATAAAGAGGAGGGGTCGCACCCCTTGTTCCGCAGAGGCCAGAATCTAAATGACCCTTCCCCCCAGAGCAACCTCACCTCATGAAGGTCGAAGGAGTCAGGAGCACGGGAGCCGAGAACAGACACGGCTCCAGCTCCCCCTGCCCCACTCCTTCCGGTCAGAGGGGCGGCCTCACGGGCAGACACTCACCGTGGCATCTTCAGAAGCAGAGGCGATTTCAAAGTCGTTGAAAGGGTTCCACTTGATGTCTAAGACGTTCCCTCTGTGCCCGCAGACCTTTGGGTAGTGGGGGTCCAACTTTCCCGTCTGCAAAACAACGCCCAGGAGGGTTGAGGAGGAGAGGGGCTAATTCCACGTCACCGTCTGACAGTTACGGGGCCAGCCAGCCATCGCCGAGTGGACAGGGAAGTGGAAGGCACAGAGCCGGGTGTGAATCTAGGACTTGACTGTTCCCTGTGTGATCCTGGGGGAATCTCATCACTTCCCTGAGTCTTGGTGGTTTCCTCGGTACAATGGAGGCCGTGGGAGGTCTTCCCCAGGGTTGGTGTGAGGACTCAGGGCATGAGGAGCGGAAAGGGTCTAGCATGGTGCCTGCCCCATAGTAGGTGTTCAATAAAAAGACCTTTCCTTTCATACATGGCTGGCGGGGAGGCAAAAAGGGCGCAGCCACTTTGGAAAGCAGCCTGGCAGGTCCTCAAAAGGTTCAACAGAGTTACTGTCTGGCCCTGTAACTTCACACTGAGTATATCACCGAGAGGAGTGAAGACACAGGTCTGCAGAGAACCTGTCCGCCCACGTTCACAGCAGTGCTCTTCAGAATCACCCAGAGGCGGAGACAACCTGAGCGTCCAGCAGATGAATGGATGCACGAAGGGTAGTGCGTTCGTACAATGGGACAGTGTTCAGTCGGAAGGAAATGAAGTTCTGATGTGCACTACCACGTGGATGAACCGGGGAAGCACTGTGCTGAGTGGGATGGGTCGGGCACCAAAAGCCACTAAACGTGGTGTGATTCCACTTCGATGACACACCAGATGTGGTTTCTCTGCTCAGGCACACTGACACAGCCCCTGGTAGCTGGTATTCAAAACCCTGACTGATGATATGAAAAGTCCAGCACAGGTAAAGCCATAGGGACTGAAAGCAGATCAGTGGTTTGGGGGAGGGCCGATGAGGGTGGATGCTAATGGGGGTGGGGTGTCTTTCGAGGGAGAGGGATCACTTTGAAATTAGACAGTGGGGACGGCTGTACAGCCACGGAATACACCAAAACCTGCCAATGCCCACATTTCAGATGGTGAATATTATGGTATGTGAATTATATCCCCCCTTCCCTGTACCTGCACAGGACACACAGGTCCCACGACCAATGCCGCGTAGCCCTGAGGCTGAAGTTTCCACCACAGTGACAGACTGGGGTATTTCCTGGGTCATGGGGCAGCTGTGTGGGGCGGGCACAGAAACCTGGAGGTGGCAGGGACTGACACACTCATTTTGCACACCACACTGCATGGTCCTGGCAGAGCGTAGAGCAGACTAGGCCCTCCGCCTGCCCGTGCAGGCGCGGCCCACACCCACCATCGCCCCCATTCTGGGACCCCCCACCAGGAGGCTCCCCAACCCCTCTCATAATCTAAGTGGAAGAGGCAGCTGAGAGGAGAACTGGCCAACAGTCCCTCGCTCAGCAAATCCTCAGGGGGACATAGGGGATAGGCGCTAGGCGAGCGGCTGGGTGAGCACAAGACCCAGTGTCTGACCTTGCAGAATCAACAGCCTCAGGATTTTAAAAAAGGGACGTTCAGGAACAGAGTGACCTCCGGGAATACTCACCACCTGTCCCCTCACCTACCCAACTCTGCAGAGACCTCCACACTTCTGTGGGACATCCCGAAACTGTGTCCAATCAAGACTGAGCAAAGGCACTGTGGTGGCCTCTGGCCTTGCCTAATAAGACTGCAGAGAGGGCAGCTGCTATGAGAATGGACACAGGCCTTCCCCATCAAGTCAAATTGGCAGACAGGTGGCTGAGCCCCTGGTTTGTGGGGGTTTCACTTGTGTATCATAGTAGGTCTGCAAACACAGGTGGGGGCCCTGGGCTCCCCTTCAGAAATATGCTGCCCAACATTCGGCCTGCAGAAAGGGGAACTAGACCCCTCGCCCTAGACGGCGTCCCTTACTGGAGGGGGAGACTTTATAAAGGAGGTTATTTGACAAATTGGAAAAATAACAGTAGATTAAAGTACCGTTACAATGTGAGGTTGATAACATACTGTGGTTATATTCTTGGAGAATAGTCCCATTTTTAGGAAACATTCAGGTATTTAGGGGTAAAGGGCACAGATGTACCGTATTTTTCAGACTATAAGACGCACCTCCCCACCCCCCAACCCCGCCCCAATTTGGGAGGAATAATGGTTGTTAATGCTGCTGTTGTTTACATTTACATTGGTGAAATATTATGTTATTTATGTTATTCAATATTTTACCACATCTTTTGCTTCAAATTCTTTTTTTCTATTTTCCTCTAAAACCTAGGTGAGTCTTATGGTCCGAAAAAATACAGTATATAATTTACTCTAAAAAATTTCAGAAAAAGTATTATTCCCTCATATACACATTCAGAGAGAGAGTGAAAAGAAAGGATTTGGATGTGTCGTGTGACAGCGTACGGAAGGAGGTAGGCAAACCTTCCACTTCTTTCGGACAGTTCTCCCTTCTCCATGGCTGAAAAATCGGGTCCCTGAGCAGGGAAGAGAGTGCACTGCACCCCCCCCCCCCAACTGTGGGGGCGGCACCCAGAGCTGGGTCCTGGCGGGGGTCGGCAGAAACCGTGGCCCAGCCGCGGACCCCTTGCCCAGGCTCCAGGCCTTCTGCACACTGTCATCGAGTGAGTTTTCCAGAACTGAAACCTGACCGTGTCAAATTTTGCAAGCCTCTTTCCCCCATCTATAAAACGTGACTAATCATCGCTTCGCTGCAGAACCGTTGTGGGGTAAGATGAGACGTTGTGCGCAGAAGCCAGACGGCGGCGCCTGCAGGCCCAAGGCTCAGACCAGAGCGGCTGGGACTCGGCTTGTGCGCATGGCCAGAACCCGGACGAAAACTCTCCGAACGAACCTCGTTAGTGGTTGTCTCTGTATGGGGAGATGAACAGGTGGTCTTTATCATCTCCTTTTTAACCTCACCTGAGGACATTTTTTTTTCATTGCTTTCAGAGAGAGGGGAAGGTAGAGAGGGACAGAGAGAGAGAGAGAAACACTGATTGGTTGCCTCTTGTATCCTCCAAAACCAGGGATTGAACCTGCAACCTGGGTGTGTGCCCTGACTGGGAACTGAACCCATGACCCTTTGGTCTATAGGACAGTGCTCCAAACAACCGAGCCACACCTTCCAGGGGCTTTCATTATATCTTTAACCCCCCAACTTCCTGTAAAAACTGTAAATTTTGCAATACAAAAGTACTTAAGACAAAACTCCAGACTTTCTGAAAGGATAAGTCTCTTCTGGATTAGCCAAAAATTTGCTATAAAACCACAGAACTTGAAGGACTCTGAGACCAGGAACGGTAAAGCCAGCACAGCTCCCGCACCAGCCTGGGAGTGGGGGGCACCACCAGTGCACCGCGCACTCTCTCCCTGACCTCAGGCTGGAGGAGGCATTGCCTGGGGTCCCGTGTGCAGGGTCTGGCCCAGGGCTCTGCCACCAAGTGGGAGTCTGTGGTGTCCTTCCTGTGCTGAGGGAGAGCCCCAGCCCTCCCTGAGTTGGCATCCCACACACCCCTACCTTCCCCACCCCTACCCCCCTCCCCCGCAAACGGCCCTGCTCTCCTCTTGGATCACTTCCTAGGTCAAAGGGCATGAGCAGTGCAGGATGGGCTGTGGCACACCCAGTTGCTCTCAGGGCCTTTATCTCTACCCTCAGCCCCAGGGCTGTGCCTCCGTTTCTGCACTGCAGGTGCTATGGAAGAGCTGAGTGTGGGCCAGCTTGGCTGACAGTAGGCAAATGGCCCAGGAGCCTCACACAGACCCGCAGCTCCCAGGTCGGCCATGGCTCCTCAGGGCGGTTCCTCGGAGCTCGGCTTGGGCCAGTGCTCCTCCCAGGCCTCTCAGGAGCAGAGGCCCAGCCCCAGGCAGCTTGGCCCTCCCCTGAGGCCGGCAGGCCGCTCTGAGCCTAAGAGGTTTTGTGCTGAGGACCCACATTAACCAGCATTGGCCAGTCTGAAGGGCTATTGACTGAGCTGTTAAAAGCCCTGTCTGAGCAGGAATATTTGTAATGAGGAGACCACTTCCGCCCTCTGTGCCTTAGGCCAAGAGTCAGCCAGGAGCAGGGCCCCTGATTTACGGGGGACACAAGCTCTAAGGCAGGGGAGACACAAGTGCTTTCTGCACAGACCGAGAGAGCCCAACCTGGGTGCTTGGGGCCTGGAGGCCTGGGGGCCTGGGTGCGGGAGCCGGCTGCTCAGCTTGAGGGCCCCCGCTTCCAGGTCTTCACTGGCTGCTCTGGGAAGACAGATCACGCAGGACTGTAGGACCCTGGAGGGCAGAGCCAGTTGGAGGGGGGAGGCCTCAGCTGCCTGGATGGCAGAGCCCTCCCACCATAAGGTCAGAGCCATGGCCTCAAGGGACCCTCCCAGCAGCCGGATCGGAAGTAGGCAGGCAGGGGAAATTTGCACAGTATGAGAAGAGGTTAGGTGGGCAGGCTGCCCCAGGCTTCCTGAGTTTGAATTCCTGCCATAGCACTCACCACTGTGTGACCCTGGGCAAAGTGACCTCAGCTCTCTGGGCCTCAGTCTCCTCATTTATAAAACGGCGGCACTAGTAGGACCTCACCAGGTGGGTATGGGGATTAAATGAGTTAAATCACATGAAGTGCTTAAGAAAGTAGCTGGCGCATGCTAAGTTCTCAGTAAATTTGCCAGTACAAATTCATCGGAGCTGACCACAGTTGTCCAGGTTTGCTGGTGTTCAGAATGTCTCAGGGGCCCGGGGGTGTACCAGTGTGAGGCTACACTGTTCTGCAGAGGGACTCCTATCACTTCCCACCTAGCCGACGGGCATTCGCTCCAGGGACACCTCATGAGTAAATCGATGTCTGGACTGCTTGCCAACTGATGAACTCAAGTACATTCTCCCTCTACAAGGAACACGTTTGCAAATGTAAAAGAACCATAACTTATAGAGAGTCAGAAATGAGCATGAAGATGGTTTTCAGTAGAATCCCACACCGGGGGTTGGAAATGATGAACCACAAAAGTTATCTGGTAACCCCATTTGGTTACCTCCAGAGATGCGGTGCTCACTTTCTAC